ACCCCTTTTATGCCTACTCTCTGCTTTCTGCCAGACAGCCAATCTTCTATCCATGCGAGCACCTTGCCTGTAACACCATGGGCCCTCATCTTACTCAGCAGCCTCCTGTGTGGCACGTTATCAAAGGCCTTCTTGAAATCCAGGTAGATAACATCCATTGGCTCTCCTTGGTTTAACCTGCTCGTTACTTCCTCAAAGAATTCTAGCAGATTTGTCAGGCATGACCTCCCCTTGATGAAACCATGCTGACCTTGCCCTACTTTACCATACGCTTCCAAATATTCAGAAATCTCATCCTTTACAATGGACTCCAAAATCTTACCCACGATCGAGATTAGGCTAATCGGCCTGTAATTTTCCATCTTTTGCCTTACTCCCTTTTTAAACAGGGGTGTCACATTAGCGATTTTCCAGTCCTCTGGGACCCTCCCTGACTCTCGTGATTCCTGAAAGATCACCAGTAACGCTTCCACTATCTCTTCAACTATTTCCTTTAGAACTCTGGGGTGTAGTCCATCTGATCCAGGTGATTTTTCCACTTTCAGGCCATTTTACTAGCACCTTTTCCTTGGTGATGGCCACTATACTCCGCTCTGCCCCCTAACTTTCTTGAATTTTTGGGAGATTACTCATGTCTTCCATCGTGAAGACTGACGCGAAGTAATTATTCAGTTCCTCAGCCATTTCCTTGTTCCCCGCTACTAGCTCTCCACTGTCATTTTCCAGTGGTCCAATGTCCACTTTTGCCTCTCTTTTGCCCTTTATATACCTGAAGAAACTCTTACAGTCTTCACTTATATTACTGGCTAGCTTACCCTCGTATTTAATCTTCTCCCTCCTTATTTCTTTTTTTGTTGCCCTCTGTTGGTCTTTGTAAGCTTCCCAGTCCTCTGGTTTCCCACTGCCCTTCACCGCATTCTCTGCTTTCTCTTTTGCTTTCGTGCTATCCCTGACTTGCCTAGTCATCCTTGGTTGCCTCATCCTCCCTGTACCATGTTTCTTTCTCCTAGGGATGAATTTTTGCTGCGTCTCCTGAATTACTCCCAGAAACTCCTGCCATTGCTGTTCCACTGTCTTTCCTGCTAGGCTCCTCTTTCAGTCAATTCTGCCCAGCTCCTCCCTCATACCTCTGTAGTCACCTTTATTCAGGTGTAATACTGTTACCTCTGATTCTATCTTCTCCCTCTCAAATTGCAGAGTAAATTCTATCATCTTATGATCACTGCCTCTTAAGGGTTTCTTTACCTTAAGCTCCCTTATCAAGTCTGCCTCATTGCACAACACCAAGTTCAGTATTGCCTGTTCCCTTGTGGGCTCCACCACGAACTGCTCCAAAAAGCCATCTCGTAGACATTCCACAAACTCCTTTTCTTGCAATCCACTACCAACATGATTTTCCCAGTCCACCTGCATATTGGAATCCCCCATGATCACTGTGACTTTGCCTTTCTTACACACCTTTTCTATCTCCTGGTGTATCTTGCACCCCAGCTCCTGACTACTGTTGGAGGCCTGTACACAACCTCAGCTATGTTTTTTTTCACCTTTGCGGTTCGTCAATTCTACCCACACAGATTCTACATCATCTGACCCTACTTTGTTTCTTCCCATTGATTTAATTTCATTTCTCACTAATAAGGCAACCCCACCCCATCAGTCCACCCGCCTATCTTTTCGATAGGATGTATATCCAAGGATATTTAGTTCCCAATCCTGATCGCCTTGCAGCCACGTCTCCGTGATGCCTACCATGTGATTCCTGCCAGTTGCGATCTGTGTCACAGCTCATTTACCTTATTGATTATACTGCATGCATTCAGATATAACATCTTCAGTCCTGTATTAACCCTCGCTCTTCTCATTTTCATTTGTTTTTCCAGTGTTTGATTGCTAGTCTTTTCCAAACAATCTGTCCTGTTTGTGTCTGAGCTAGATAATTTAATAACCTCTTCTGAATTTTCCTTCCCTGCCATTTCTTTCATATTTGTCCACTTCGTTGAATCCACCACTACAGATGTTAACCTGGTGCTTTGTTTCCCACCGGGCAAGTTTCACCGTTCCCTCTCCCCCCCCCCCCCCCCCCCCCCCCCCCGCTTAAAGCCCTGTTGACCAGCCTATTTACCCGTTTCGCTCGATTCTGGTCCCAACGGTACAGATCCCTCCTGTTCCAATACTGATGCCAGTGCCCCATGAAAAGGAACGCCTCTTTCCCGCACCACTCTTTTAGCCACGTTTCTATTTCCCTTATTCTTCTGTCCCTCTGCCAATCAGCACGTGGCTCGGGCAATAATCCGGAGATTATAACCCTTGAGGACCTGTTCTTTAATTTGGTTCCCAGCTCCTGATAATCTCTGAACAGGTCCTCTTTTCTAGTCTTGCCTATATTGTTTGTTCCGGCATGGACCACAACAACTGGATCCTCCCCCTCCTGCTCCAATATCCTTTAAAGCCGGTCAGAGATATCCCTTACCCTGGCACCGGGCAGGCAACACACCATGCGGGACTCCCTATCCCCCTAATTATAGAATCGCCTCCAACTACCACCTGTCCTTTTGCTCCCCGCTCTTGAATGGCCTCCCGTACCATGGTGCACTGGTCAGTTGGCTCATCCTCCCTGCAGCCCTTTTCCTCATCCACACAGGGAGCAATTACCTTGTACCTGTTGGACAAGGTCAAGGGCTGAGGCTCCTCTGTTCCTGGCTGCAGGATCCCTCTACCTGTCTCGCTTACAGTCACACCCTACTGTCCCTGGCCACTGACCAAATTTAAAGTACTTAATCTACCAGGTGTGACTGCTTCCTGAAACAAAGCGTCCAGGTACTTCTCCCCCTCCCGAATGTGCCACAGTGTTTGAAGCTCCGATTCCATCTCATCAAATCTGAGCCGAAGTTTCTCGAGCAACCAACGCTTGCTGCAGATGTGATCACTGCAGTTCGCAATGGGATCAGCCAGCTCCCACATCATACAGCTACAACACATCACTTGTCCAGCCATTTCTACTTAGTTAATTACTTTAACTCATTATAATAAATTATATAAATTAATAATCAAATTTGTTGATACTTTCCTTCCTCCAACAGCTTCCCTCTACTCTAGTTTGCCAAAAGAATTAAAAAAAACCTTACCTTACCGACCCTCCACACAGTTTTTCTTTTAGTTAGAGGTGGAGGATGGGTGGGAGACACTGTACGTGTAGTGTTTAGGGTTTAGACAATGGCTGAATATAATAGTTCACTTCCCAGCTCGCACTCTCGCCACTCCTGCCGCTTGAATCAAGTAGACCACCGACTCATGAGCAACATTTTATAAGCAAAAGCTTACCTTCCTGGCTGCCCCCTGGCTTGCACTGTCACCACTTCTACCGCTCGAATCATTTCCTCCAAATAAAAGGTGTTGGTATCTGCAAGGTCCTTAGTTATGCCTGTGGTTTTGTGGTATATGTTAAATATTCAATGTAGCAACCTTATTCCACCTCTCTTCCCCCAACTCTACTTCTGGTAAATCAATGACTTGTATCATTATAATCACCTGGAACTGGATAAAGATAATATATTCTGCTCCCAATTTGCATGCTCTGCCATTTGCCTTCCTTGACTCTCTGTCTGCTTTTCTGAGGATAGGCTGTGTACTGATATTTCTTATAAGTCCAGTGACTCTCACAGCTACCTCATCTACACTTCTTCATATCCTGTTTCCTGCAAGGACTCCATTTCATTCTCCTAGTTTTTCTGTCTCCCCCACATCTGTTCCAACGATGCTACTTTCCACGATTGCTGTTCTGACCTGAATTCCTTTTTGCTTAACTGAGGATTCTCCTCATTGTGGTTGACAGAGTCTTCAGTTGTATCTGACCTATTTTCCTTCTTCCAAGTAATGTGACAGGATTACCTTTGTTCTCACTTGCCACCCCCTAGTCTCTGCACCCTCTGCCATTTCCAACACCACCGGGATAATGCTGCAGCCAAACATACCCTCCCATCCCCTCCTCTGCAGCAAACCAAAAGGACAATTCATTCCATGGCACCTAGTCCACTTCTCAATCATCCGCATCACCCTGTTGCCTTTCTGTTACCTCCGTCCATGCATTCTGAAAGGGAGAGAATGGAACATGTGTTTCATTTTAGCATCTTACTGAAGAAACAGGATGATCCATTGAATATGGAGATTGGTAGGGGGGAAAATAAGTTTCTGGGATGGAGAGAAAATGAGAGAATTTGTGCAAGAAATGAGATTGGTGTAGTTGAGGGCCAAGTCAACAATTGTGAAATGGAATTCTAGTTTGAAGAAAAAGCAAAACCTGTCAGAACATTTGTGTATGGAAGGTGGTATCGTGAGAGCGATACAGACGCAGGGAAATCGGGGATATGCAATAAGGTCTTGCAGTGATCTGACAGGGTGGAAATGTAATTGAGGTACATTTGCGAGCCAGAGGACAGGTAGTTGAATTTTGCTTCCTAATCCACGTCTTCATTTTTTGATAGTGGTCAGTCTAGAAATAACTTGTAGCTTACAATGAATTCTTAAACAATTAATCCTAACTCAACTTTTGATTTGCTCGCTTGTATACTATTATCTCCGTTTTCTTGTTTTTTTTTCCTTCGTGAGCCATCATTTTGTTTTTGCTCCTTTCAGGAGAAAAGCTTTTGCCTTCTCTAATAACAAGGAGTTAATGTATAATACCTATTGTACATTTTTGCCTACTTTTAAATTCAGTAAGTCACCTTCTGTAGATAGTGGAGCCTTTCTGTCTTGTGATAGACTTTTCATTCCTTGCTTCAGTACATCTGTATAGTCTACTATTGGAAACTGCCTGGCTTCACTATTGGAAATTTTGGATAGCTCGTTCCATTTTTTTCAATATCTTGGATACTTTGGCAATCAACTAACATTATTGAAATTTCTTCTGAACTTATTTTGATCAGAAGTGGGTTGTGCACTATTTGAAAATGTGATATGTTCTTATAATGTAACTACAACAATTTATCTTCTTTGTTTTTTAGCCAATCAAACTTGGAGATCACCTGAATAGCATATTGCTGAATATGTGTGAAGATCTGATGTACACACGAGTGACAATAAGGACTATTCTAGATGCTTGCAGTGCTCATATTCGGAACAGTAACTGTGCACCAGCTTTCTCATACATTAAACAGCTGGTAAAACTTGTCTTGGGTAGTCTAACAACTGTAAGTACTAGGCTGTGGAGTGCAAATATTTTGTGTATGTATTATAATAATGTGGTCGTGGGATTTTAAGAATGGCAAAAATATGTTCCTGGAAATCCTAATTCTGCACCCTTGTAAATTCATGAAACAAGGTGAGAGATTGAAAAAGGCACAACCAAGGCACAAATGTTTGAGGAAGAAATGAATAGATATATTTCTCAGTGAAATGTATCAGTAACTGCTTGCATGTTGGGCTATAACATTTGCTAACTTCTTTTCTTGAGGCAGCAGTGATTTCCCTTTAAGATTGACTACTGGTTTAATAATGGGAGACGTGTGTGTTCTCTATATGTGTTGTTAGACTGAATTTTTAACTAATGTTTTGAATAATGCCTGGTATTTCCCCTTTTGTAGCTGAATCAGCTATCCTTAAATATAGTCAGCAAACCAGATCGTAACCAGGAAATTCGTGATCGACTGAGAGGCAAGGGCCTTCCAATAGGTGAGGTAACAAAAGCATTTAATAATAAAGCTAAATGTGAACATGCTGGCTTAATGAGTGAACTAACTGTTTAGAATCTCCTTGGAGTACAAGTAGGCCATTCAGCTTCTTGAGCTTACTCCACCGTTCAATAAAATCATGGCTGTTTTGATTACAACCATAATCCCACATACTCACCTAACCTTGATAATATTTTACCCCCTTGCTTAAAAAGAATCCATGTACATTTACCTTAAAAGTAGTAAAGGATCTTGTTTCGCCACCTTTTCAGAATGTTACGACACGAAGACAGACAGCCAAATCAAATGAGCCTCCCTCTCCCTGAATTTGCAACATAGTCAAATTAAAATATTCACTCAAAATTGACCAATGGTTCCTACCAGGCTTTGTGAATAACCAATACCAGACCCAAGATTTATAGCTTAAACTAAAACAAATGAACAATTTGTCATTAAAAGGACGGGTCACCAGACCCGAAACGTTAACTCTGTTTTCTCCTTCACAGATGCTGCCAGACCTGCTGAGCTTTTCCAGCAACTTTGTTTTTGTTGTTGTCATTAATACCATAGGTTTAACTGAACAAAGTTACACAACAAGTTCATTTAATTAATGTCCATGATTTGAACCCAATCTCCTCTGATTCTAGCCCTTACTGAAACAAAGACATACAGACAATCCTGAGATAGCAAGAACGGCTAGTGCTGGAGTCCGAGATAACACAGTGTGGAGCTGGAGAAACACAGTAGGCCAGGCAGCATCAGAGGAGCAGGAAAGTTGAGTTTTGGGTTGGGACCCTTCTTCAGAAATGGGGAGGGAGAAGGAAGCTCAGAAGTAAATAGAGAGAGGGGAGGGATGGGGCTAGGGAAGGTAGGTGGGATGGTGATAGGTGAGTGCAGGTAGGCAGTGGGTGGGGATTGGTCAGTGAGGTGGGGTGGCGGATAGGTGGGAGAGAAGATGGACAGGTTGTGTCAGGTTAAGGAGGTGGGGATGAGAGGGAAGGTTGGTCACAGGATGAGGCCGGGGGTGGGGAGATTTCGAAACTGGTAAAGTCCACGCTTAGGCCATCAGGCTTTAGGTTTCCAAGGTGGAATAGAAAGTGGTGCTCCTCCAGTTTGCAGGTGGCCTCGTTGTATCACTGGAGGAGACAATCCTGTATGTGTTTTGAATTCCACATTCCCATCTACCACCAATAGCCTTGATTCACTTAACATGAATCTATCCACCTCTGTCTTAAAAATATTCAATGACTTGATCAATGTAGGAAGGCAGGCACATTTCCAGTGCCCAGGACCTGCATTTGTGCAAGAGGTGTCTACAGCTACAGCTGCAGCTGCAGCTGCAGCTCCTGGAAGTCTGAGTCTTGGAGTTGGAGTGGCATCTGGGGAAATTGCGGAGTATTTGCGAGGCGGAGAATATCGTGCATTGCAGGTATAGAGAGGTGGTCACAGCAGACTCAGATTCCACAAGCAGGACGGGAATGGGTGACCACCAGGCAGAGCAGGAGAGCTAAGCACGCAGTGCAAGAATTTCCTGTGGTTAATCCCCTGCAAAGCAGATACACACTTTTGGATACGATTGAGGGGAATGGCCTCTCAGGGATAACAGCAGCAGCTAAATTCATGGCACCATGGTTGGCTCTGCTGCAGAGGGAGGGGGAAATAGGCATGGAAATTCTATAGTAAGGGTAATAGATAGGCATTTCTGTGGCCACAGGATGGTGTGTAGCCTCTCTGGTGCTAGGGTCTTGGCGTGGTTGCAGGACATTCTGGAGGGGGAGGGCGAACAGCCAGTGTTCGTGGTACGTGTTGGTGCTAATGACATAGGGTAATAAAAGGGGTGAGGTCCTAAAAGCAGAATATAGAGAGCTAGGAAGTAAGTTGAAATGTAGGACCTCAAAGGTAGTTATCTCAGGATTACTACCAGTGCCACAAGCTAGTCAGAGTAGAAATAACAGGATATATAGGATGAATACGTGACTGAAAAAATGGTGTGAGGAAGAAGGTTTCAGATTCATGGGGCATTGGGACTCGTTCTGGGAGAGGTGGGAACCTGCACAAGTCGGACGGGGGTTTAGTAGAAGAGATGGTATTTGGTAGTGTGGTTGGGGAGAGTTTAAACTAGTGTAGCAGAGGGATGAGTACTAGAGGAGTAGGACAGTAGATGCAGAAATTGAGAGAGGGATAGAAACCAAGGCAAACATGACAAATAACAAGAACAGTCAGGGAAATGCTGCTTGAAAAAAAACAGGGGAGGTAGTTTGAAGTGCATATGTTTCAATGTGAGAAGCATAATAGGCAGGTAGATGAAATTAGAGCTTTGGATATTGAGGAAAATTGTCAGACGGTACAGCAGGATATAGATCACTTGGAGGCATGGGCAGAAAAATGGCAGATTGGAGTTCAGTCGGGACAAATGTGAGGTGATGCATTTTGGAAGGTCAAGTGCAGGTGAGTGAGTCAAGTGAGTGGCAGAACCCTTGAGAGTATTGATATGGAGAGGGATCTGGATGTGCAGGTCCACAGATCACTGAAAGTAGCAGCACAGGTAGATAAAATGTAGAAAAGGCCTGTGGCATACTTGCCTTCACTGGAAGGTGCATTGAGTATAAGGATAGGCAAGTTATGTTGCAGCTTTATAGAACTTTAGTTAGGCCACACTTGGAATATTGTGTACAGTTCTGGTCACAACATTACCAGAAGGATGTGGATGCTTTGGAGGGGGTACAGAAAAGGTTTACCAGGATGTTGCCTGGCATGGGGGATTTAACTATGAAGAAGTGTTGGATAGACTGGGTTTGTTTTTACTGGAATGTAGGTGGTTGAGGGGCAACCTCATAGAAGTTTATAAGATTGTGAATGGCATGGATAGAATGGAAAGTATGAGGCTTTTTAGGGTGGAGGGGTCAATTAATAGGGTACACAGGTTCAGGTGCATAGTGGTGGTGGTTTGTGGGGGCGGTGCGAAGTTTAAAAGAGATGTGTAAGGCTCACACAGAAGGGTGGTGAGTGCCGGGAACGCACTGCCAGAGGAGGTGGTGGAAGCAGACACAATAGCAGCATTCAAGAAGCATCTGGACAAATGTGCGAACAAGAAGGGAAAAGAGGGATACGGATCTTGTAAGTGAAGACCGTATTCGTATGGAGGGGCAAAATGTGTCAGCGTAGGGTTGGAGGGCCGAAGGGCCTGTTCCTGTGCTGTGTTGTTCTTTGTTTGTGTCTCAGAAGGTGGAGAACAGCTAATTCTAAAGTTGTACAACCCTCGGAGAAAATAATTCTCCTCTCTTTCTCTTGAAAGGGCAACCCAAATTTAAAGCAGTGCTCTCAATTTCTGGACTGACCCTGGAAAACAAACATCCTTTCCATGTCCATCTTGTCAAGACTGTTTAAGATCTCTCATATTTCCAACAAGCCACCCCTCAGTCTTCTAAACTCCAGCACAAACAAGACCAGCCTGTCCAACCTATCCTCATAAGACGACCCACTCATTCCAGATATCATTATAGTAAACCTCCTCTGAACTGCCTCCAATGTGTTAGATCTTTCTTAAATAAGAGGACCATAAGTCATACAGTATTTGAAATATAGTGTCATTGACTCCCTATATGACTGCAGCATAGCATCCTACCTTTATATGTTCAGTTCCTCTCAAGACAGCATCCCATCAGCCAACTTGATTACATGCTGACTTGTACACTAACTTTTTATGACTCATGTACTCTAACTCATAAATCCCTCTGCACCTCAGAATTTTGCAGTTGTTCACCATTTAGATAAAACAGTGCTATTTTTGTTCCTCCTGCCAAAGTGAATAACATATTTTCCCATGTTATATTCCATCTGCTACATATTTTTGTCCACTCAATCGAGCCATAACTGTCTATGATTTCCTTGTGTCTTTTTCCCAACATATTTCTCTATCTTGGTGACACCAGCGAATCTAGCAACTCTGCCATTGTTTCCCTTAACATAAGTCATTGATGTAAATTGTAAAAGTTGACAACCCAACAGACCCCTGTGGGACTTCACTTGTCACATTCTGCCTATAAGACAAAGACAATTTATACATATTTTCTGTTATCTGCCAGCCAACCAGCTGATCTTCTATCAATACTAAAATATTAGCCCCTGTACCATGAGTTTTTATTTTGTGCAGTAACTTTTTGATGTGGCACCTTACCAAGTATCTTCTGGAAATCCAAGTATCGTACACCTTTAAGCTCATCTGTGTCCATGGCGCAGAACTCTTTGAAAGAGCTCCAGTAAATTGGTTAAACCTAATTTCTCCTTGTTTAAACAATAATTCCTGGTTCTAGTTTTTGCCAGAAGAGAGAAGATTCTCTCTACATCTGTCCTGTTTAACAAAATGAACCACCCACGGTCTTTTTTTTAATCTTTCTGTTGAATACTGTTGGTTTGAAATAAAAGTCTATTTATTTTTAAGAGTGTGTAATTGTGAATTCACATGTGTATTGGCCTTACATCAGCAAGTGATGTAATCCCACTTGGTGAAGCATTGTCTCAATTTCTCAAGAAATCTGCTTTCATTATTAGTAATTCAAATTAAAATGAAACTAATTTACAAAGCTCTGCATTAGAAGTAAAGGTAGAAAATGTGAAAAAACTAGAATGTCCTAACATTTGATAAAACATTTCTTTCCATTTACAGTATATTTAATTCCATTCACAAGTGAAATGTACTGCAAACTGTATTGTTGCTTGACATTTTCTCATTCAATTATATCACTTTAAGAAGAAAAACAGGAAGTGATTCACAAATCTGAGCATTAGGCAATGGTGTTAAGTATTATCTGTTAAAAGAATGAGTAAACTCACTCAGATAATGCATTAACTATATAAGAACAAAATACTAGAAATGATAGAAAATGGAAATAAAATAATAAATGCTGGAAAGACTGCAGCTTTTATGGTACAACAGCCAAATGCAGTGGTAATGAGTAACGAAACAAAAGATATGTTAGGGTGAGATGTGAATGGTAGAAT